TTCTCAGATGTGAATACAACTCCACCTTTCTTAACAAAAGGCATCTTATGTGTTTTACGAAGAAGTGAGAACACTACTGAGCCTTTCAAATATAGACAGTATTACGGTCCTTGGACAAAGCATTCATGTCTTATATGACTAAAAATGACTGTGTACACATACAAGACAACAATACATTAATGTAGGAGCAAGAATGGCACGTCCAAATGTCCCGGAGGCATAAAAGTAATTTATTGTCAACGTGGTAATTATTCAACAAGTTGCTTGAAAAACACTATAGTGTCTTCAATGCTTTTGTCGATTATCACAAATGCCTTAACTTAGTGCCACACTTGTGAGTTATTTGGACACTGAAAATATATAAAAGAGATCCAAGTGCAGTGAGAATCCTAGATCAGGTGTACATATGGAAAACTATTCTCTATTTAAAATAGGATGTCAACACAATAATAAGAAGAGTGATTCATATAAAATGTGGCATTTTTCAGAGATTAAAACCATTATGGATTTTAATCCATTATTTTCTCTCCTAAGTAGAACTGACTATGGCTTCCAAATTAAAGGAATCAAACCAAAACTTGATATGAATGACAACACGGGGAGGTAAGTGCTATTATCATTTCTATTTTAGAGCTCAGGAAACTGAAACAGGCAGAGATTAAGTGACATGTCCGGGGTCACTTAGCTAGTGTCTAAGACCAGATTGAACTCGAATCTTCCTGACTCCAGGCCCAGCACTCTATCCACTAAGCCACCTACTGCTTCTAGGCAAGTCCTTAATTTCATGTAGTCTTCCTTGAATAACATCAAATTGGATATGATGAGGGTAAAATTCTTAATCTATGCCTAGGAAAGCTAACAACTGAAGATTTGAGCTTGAATCCTGGAAGTCAAATTAAACCAGAAGATGAAGCTGGCATTTACAATTTTTATCTGTCAGTCAAAGCTCTTTATATTTTTAAGCAATCAAGCAGATTATTGTGGCTGAATATACCGAGACTTCCTAGAATTCAAAAATCAAAACTAAAGGGAAAGAACACATTTAAAGTAATCAATATGTATACAATTCCCTTCTTAGTATCCACTTTCAGAAATGTATAACGGAGCATAACAAATATGAAAAGCATCCTAACAAAAACCCAAACAATATTAAACATGAACATAGGGCTCACTGTTAGCTCTAAAAAGTAGGAAGAGGATAGACAATCTCAGAGCAAACACACCAATTTTGGAACAAGCATACATCACTTCACAGAGTTGTGATAAAGGCTGATACACAGGTACATACCATCAGGTTTGCCAACAGCTTGCATTCTGATGAAGCCTATGAAACAGATAAAACCCAAGATTGGAATTAAAAAGCCTTCATAAATGAAATCTACATGAACTCAGCCAGCATTGAATTAACATTATTTTTAATGGCTGTCATGTTTATGGAAATGGAAGAGTCATTTATAATAATAATTTAGGACCAGATCACTGTCAGCAGAAATAACAGAAAGTTATTCTTAAAGAGACCAGTTTTAATGATCAATTAAACCTATGCAAGGAAATGATAGAATCTGTGTAATTCATCAATGAAGGCTGCAAAAGTTTTGTACCTAACAAATACTTACCAAGACATGATCTGGTTGATAGAATTGATGATATTAAGATGGTGATTTGTTTCAGGACTGATCTTTTTTTCTGAACTTTATCAAATATGAGGATGATTATAACAGAAATAATTGACACAGTAAAGGCAAAGGGAATACACATTTATACAGTACCAATTGTGTGCCATGTACTGTGCTAAGTACTTTTTACAAATATTATCTCATTTGATCCTCACAACACGCCTGTGAAGTGGGAGCTACTATTATACCCATTTCACAGTTGAGGAAACTAAGGAAAACTTAACCATAGCCAAGAGACTTGCCCAGAGACACACAGCTAGTGTCTGTAGTGGAATATGAACTAAGATATTCCTCATTTTTGTTCTAGTGCTCTGTCCACTGTGGCACTAGCTGCCTCAGAAATACAAAATACCTAACAGTTTGTGAAGACCTTTATATACATAATTTCATATTATCCTCACAATAGCTCTGAAATGATTACCACATGTATTATGAAGTAGCACATAATTTTTCTTTAGTGAAGATTTGTAATTTCATTGGCATAGGGAATTCCTGATGGCAAACTCCCTAAACCAATGCAGACCAGCCACTCTTCTGCTATTTATAGTAATATAGAGAATTACCTGGGGGATTGAGAAATTAAATGACTTGATCAGTATCACACAGTCAGTATGTGTTAGAGGTTGGACTCCAAGGCCAATTCTCTATTCACTGTATCACTCAGTGATCTTTTTTATTCTTCTTTTTTTTTCCTTTTTGCTAGGCAATTGGGATTAAGTGATTTGCTCAGGGTCACACAGCTAGTAAGTGTCATGTGTTGTTGTCTGAGACCAGATTTGAACTCAGGTCCTCCTGACTCCAAGGCCGGAGCTCTATACACTGTGCCACCTAGCTTCCCCTGAGTGATCTTAATAATAGCTTTGCCAATGCCAGTGTATACACTGCATATATACAATGACAATACTCTTGGGAAATTATTGTTCTGAAAAAGTCAACTAATATTTATTAAACACCTACTATGTGCTAGTCACTGTGTTAAGCACTTGGGATACAAATAAATGCCCCCCCCAAAAAAAGTCCCTGGTTTCAAAAAGCTCACTGGCCAGCATTTGTGAAATAGATTTTAAAATGTTATTAAAATTGGCCCTTTTCTATTATGTGCTTTCTTTTGAGTCCATTTTAATTAACTTTATTCCTTAACCTTTGATCTAAAATGTATTATATCCATAAGGAACTATACAAGGTCATAACTTGAAAACTACTTTCTTTCTCTAGCAAATTCTGAATCATATAATGATAGAATTTTAGCACTGAAAGGTTCCCTAGAGAGCATCTAGTGTAGCCTCAGATGTGCTAATTACTCATTTTACAAAAGAAGAAAGTAAGGTCAAGAGAGCTTATATGACTTCTCAAGGTCACATTGCTTATTAGCAACCAATTAGATATTTCTCAGGCATAGCACTTTAATTTGGTACCATTATGTAGGATTCAGCTAACTTTATGAAGCAATAGACTTACAATCTAATAGTAGATTGCCAAATCAGTTTTATTCTTTTCACTGTGCTCCAAATAATAATAATGAAAAAAATATCAAGTCAATGGAGAATAAAACCAGCCTACACAAAGCTTGGCAAAATATCCACATATGCAAAGTCATCCCAAGAACAGTCACAGATCAAAACAGAAGGAAAAAAAGGAAATTGTTTGTTAAAAAAAAAAAAAAACATTGTTTTCTGCATCAAGGATAGAAAAAAATACTGCAATTGGACCCTAAAATAATAGTCCTTGAAGTGCTTACAGAGGGAGTAGAAATGGTGCTAAAGAACACAAAAACAGGAAAATCAGCTTTATTGTATCAAATATGCATGTAGAGCAGGTCCACTGAATAGATAAAGGTCATAAAATTGTGAGGGCATTAAAAAACTGATATACAAGGTATCTGAAAATGGAAAGATATCAAAGGTACAGAGAAAAACTCAGACCTTACTGATCCCAAAAAAGGTTACAGAGGAAACCTTGACAACTTTTGGTCTATATACTTTCTCTCAAATCTACATAAAATCATTATTGGCATCCTCTATAATCAAATTGAGGACATCCTCCATTAAAGTATTAATAGGAGGCAAGCAGGATTTCACAAACAATATTCATCAATAGACAATATTTTTTTCTATCTTACAATTGACTAAAAATTAGAGAGAATGTAAGAATGTAAGATATTGTGCCTTTTGTTGTTGGTGGTAATGATTACCCCCAAAAAATTGACTAAATAGAAAATTGACCAAGGGAAGCTAGGTAGTGCAGTGGATAGAGTACCCAACCCGGAGTCAGGAGGACTCATCTTTCTGAATTCAAATCTGTCCTCAGACATTTACTAGCTGTATGATCCTAGACAAGTCACTTAACCCTGTTTGCCTAAGTTCCTCATCTATAAAAATAAGCTGGAGAAGGAAATAGCAAACCACCCTAGTATCTTTGCCAAGAAAGCCCCAAACGGGGTCATGAAGAGTTGGACAGGAAATGACTGAACAACAGCAAAAAGAAGAACAAAACTCCAGATTACAGACTGTTTTATAACAAAGTATCTCCAATCCATACATCAAGATAATGCCTGTTTAATGATCCTCTCATAATAAACATCATTTGAGGCATTAAACAGAGAGGTATGTGCTCACTACTGTAATGGAAAAGATCCAGCTTGGAGTGCAGATCAAGGAGGGATTCCCTGTGCTTAGTGAGGTCCTCCACATCCTTCTGTATGCCAATGACATTGTGCTAATTACATCAAGCCTGGGGCATCGTAGAACCTCCTCAAAGAGATCTGTTTTCACGCAAAAGACTTTCTCCTATTCATTCACACAAGAAAAAACAAATGGATGAAGAATACCTATGGTATGCTAAAAAAATATACAAAAATAGACATAAAAGGGTTTTTAATAACATAAAGAGTTTCTATCCAAAACCAAAAGCAAGCATCATATTCAACGGGGATACATTTGAAGTTTTCCCAATAAATACAGGCTGTCCTCAGCACTGGTTGATACAGTTCGAGAAATGCTACCAAGAATAGCTAAAAGAGAAAGAAATTTGAGGTATAAAGCTAGATTTAAAAAAGTGATAAAACTATTCCTATTTGATAATGATGTAAACATGATGGTTTACTTATGAATTTCTGGAGAATCAGCAAAGATAGCAATTGAAAAAATTAATAAATTGCAGGCTACAAAATAAACTCACAAAAATCAATAGCATTTCTTTATAATAATAACAAAATCCAAGGGGCAATAATAGAAAGGAAAATCAGATTCAAAATAACTACTATATATATAATGCATATTTATAGAGAGAGAAATCTATGAAAATACAGAAAATACATGTATATATTGCACTGTTGTTCATCCTTTATTCTCTAAGACCACAAGGGTGATGTCTTGACTTGTGTATGACTTGGATTAAAGTGATGCAGTGCTGCACTAAATTGTCAACCTCACTGTCTCCTCCAGAGTCCTCAAAGTCCAGTAACAAGGCAGACATCAAGGTGACTAGTGAATGGTGATGGCCCAGGATGCAGTAGGTGACTTTGGCCTTTCATATTCCATTACAAGTGCCCTTTAAAGAAATAAAGAACAACTTAAATAACTGTTTTATAACAAAGTATCTCCAATCCATACAGCAAGATAATGCCTGTTTAATGATCCTCTGATAATAAACATCATATGAGGCATTAAACAGAGAGATATTCAATGCTTATGGCTATGCCATCTCAAGAAAATACCAATCACAATGCTGCCAAAGTTACTTTGCAGTTTTAATGCTATACCCATCAAATTGCAGAACTTGATAAAACAATTTAAAAAATTATTTGGAGGAAGAAAATATCTAAAATTAAAGTTATTAGTTAATAATTGAAAATTTTAAAACAATGAAAAAAGTTAGAATAAAGGAGGAATAATATTTCCAGACATCAAACTATATCATATCATATACAAAATGTATAAGCCTAAAATCAATTCCCAATAGATAAAAGAACAAAGGATATAAAAAAATTGTCAAAAGAATTGCAAAGTATTAACAAACATGTGAAAGAATGCCACAAATCATTAATAGGAAGAGAGATTAATATCAACATGGTCCCAAAGTTTTACCTCATGCCCTGAAAATTGAGAAAGATGACAAAAGATGGGACTATTAAATATTGACTGGGGTCATGGGAAGAAAGGCACACTAATGTACCATTGGTAGTGTTGTGAATTAGTGCAACCATTTTGGAAAGCAATCTGTAGTTATGTAAACAAAATTACAAAAATGGCCATACCCTTTTACCCAGAGGTACTAAGCACATATTCCAAGGAGGTCCCTGATTAAAGAAATTCCATGTGTACACTTAAATATTATAATAGCATTTTTATGGTAGCAAAAAAAAAAGTAGAAAAAAATCGATGCCCATCTCTTGGGAAATGGCTAAACAAACTGTGATACAAGAATGTAATGGAACATTATTATGCTGTAAGAAATAATGAATATCATGAGCACAGAAAGGCATGGAAAGACCTACATGAAGTTATGTAAAGTGAAATAGAACTCAGAAAATACACACACACATACACATACACACACACACACATATAGACTACAACAATATAAATGGAAGGAGCAAGAGCCATAAAACAATAACAATAAAAATAAATATTATAAAATTCCCAAACATGGCTGCAAATAAGAGCTATGAGAAGACACCTTCCCCATCCCATCCCCAGTACTGTGCAGAGATGAGAAATCCACAAGTATAGAACCCTGAATATATTTTCAAACTTGATGATATATTTATCAGTTTTATTGATTTTTTTTCTCTTCTTCTTTTTTTTCTTTTAAAAAAATTCTTGTTATTTTGGATAGCTCTCTGGGAGGGGAAGCAGAAGGTATACAGGGGAAATGTAGCAATGTAAAAGCAAAAGATATCAATAAAACTATTTTTATAAAAGAATATCTATAGCCTGGATATCTACGTGCATCTGAATGGGCACCCTAGACAGCCAGCCCAATGACTTATTTATATAGGGCAGACAGTACAGATGGACAATGAACTGGGCCCAGAATAGAAAAAGAGGAGGGGAAATGACTTGGATTGCCTTTGGGGAATTGAAAAGCACTTTTATAGACTGTAAGATTCTCATAGCAACAAAAGCCCAACTATCCATACAAATATTTAATTGGTATTGCTGTACAGTAGAAAGACATGAAATACCACGTCCTCCAAAGAACTAAAACTGAACATCACAAAGAGGGCAATGGAAAAGGACATGGTGGGTGTGAACAGGTTGCAACACATAATTAACAAGCAACTTGGAAGAAGAGTAATAAATTATGTCATCCAAGAACTGTATGAAAGAAAGAGAACATGACCTGGTTTTATAGCAATAGCTGACAGACAAATGACCAGAGTTCCTTCTTGGTACCATTAAAATTTTGGGAGAAGGAAATGAAGACCATCAGCACACTTGGTAGATGCCCTCTGGTTAAGGTTTTGGAGCACATAGATGAGGGCTGCACAGGGTGGACAGACAGGCATAGATTGGATGTAATAAGCATAATTGGAAGGATCTCTCTTATCACAGACTCAAGTACTTGCACACATTTCCTAATATAGCTTTCTGCCCTGGCCCTCCAAAAAGACTCCTCTTAAATAAAAAAATGGGAGATATATATATATATATATATATATATATAGAGAGAGAGAGAGAGAGAGAGAGAGAGAGAGAGAGAGAGAGAGAGAATAGTTCAAGAAAAGTAACCAACATATCAACTAAGTCTAATATTACATGTGATATTCCACAGTCATATTCTCCTATTTCTACAAAGCATGGAGAGAGGATATTCTCATGCCTCTTCTTTTGGACCAAACTTGGCCATTATAAATTAACAGTATTCGGTTTTGGTTGCTTTGTTGTTGTTTTTAATTGTTTCTACTTAAATTGTTATACTCATTTTAATCACTTTTTTTTTGTTCTACTTCACTTTGCATCAGTTCATGTAAATTTTCCTATGGTTCTCTATAATCCTCATATTTATTGTTTTTTATAATGCAATAAAATTCTATTACCTTCATATATCATAATTTGTTTAACTTTTAACCAACTGATTGCATCTAGTTTGTTTCCAGTTCTTTGCTACTATGAAAAAATACTGTTACAAATATTCTGGTGTATATGAAACCTTTATTTTTATCATTGACTTGCTTAGGGTATGATCTTTGTGTCAAAAGGTATAGGTATTTTAATCACTTTCTTCATATAATTACAAATTGCTGTGTAGAATGGTTGGACCAGTTCATCACCAGCAATATATTAATGTGCCTCTCATTTCACATTCCCTTTAAGGTTTTGGAGTATTTTTTCATATGATCGTTAATAGTGTACAATTCTTCCCTTAAGAAGCATTTGTGCGTAAGCTTTGATCACTTTTCTATTGGGGAATTACTTTTGGTCTCTGACATTTTATTTTAATTGCATATATATTCTGAATATCAGACCCTTACCAAAAATATTTAGTGCAAAGATTTTTTTCTCCATCTGACACATTTAATTCCAGGTGTATTAATTGTATTTAAGCAAAAGCTTTTCACTCTCAGATGTTATGTAGTTGATTCTATTTCTTCTTTGGTTAAGAATTCTCCCTCAAGCCATCACTTTGAAAGGTACCTGAGCAGATTCTCTTTTAATTTTTTAATGATATGATTTTTAATATTCAGTACATGTTTCCATTTTGAGCATATTGTGGTATATCACGTAATTAGGTCTAAATCTAATTTCTGCCAAAATCTGTCAGTTTTTCTCATCGATTTTTGTCAAATAAGTATTTTCTTCTCCAAGAAATTAATGTTCTAACACGTATTGAACCCAATTACTTCTGATTCTTCCTTATCTAGTGTCTTCCACTGATTTACTTTTCTATTTTTTAACCAGTATGAAAAAGTTGTGGTTTTTTTTAATGATTTCTGCCCTAGAGTATGATATAAGGTCTGAAAGTGCTATTCTGCCTTCATTCCTTCTTTCCCCCATTATTTCCCTTGAGATTCTAAAACTTATTTTCACCAAATGATTTTATTTTTATTTTGCCTGGTTCTAAATGTATTCCCTTGATAATTTAATTGATAAAGCACTAAATCTGTAAATTAATTTAGGTAGTATGATCATATTTATTATATTGGCTGGAAAGAGCAATGCTGACTGAATATCTCTCCAGTTATTGAAGTAATTATTTTAAGGGGTGTTTTGTAATTTTATCATTACAGTTCTTGAGGGTACCTTCAGAGATTGTATCCCAGATATTTTAGATATTTTAGATATTTTATAGCCATTCTTGATATTTTGTTAATACTTTTGGTATCATAGTAAAGGACAAATAGTGGGAGAATCTACTACATAGAAATTATTTTAAATAAGAATTTATGCAGTAGTGATAAATTTCTGATAATTGATTGGGAACAAAAACAACATGATTACATGGGATATAGGGGAAAGAGCACGAGCTTTGGATTAAGACTTGAATTTGAACATCAGTATAATATCTCTTGGGCTGGGGGTGACCTGTGGGTGGCAGCTTTTACTATTCCAGCTCAAGAGACATTAACAATTAGCCAGTTGACTTAGTTTTGGGCAAAGGCATTTACTATGATGGTGTAGTAAAAATAGTTGGTGAAAAACACCCCCCCCCCAATCATCTCCCTCATAAGACATACAGATTCATGGGAAGAATGGGCTGATACTTAAAGTGGACGGCAGTGAGGTACACATACGGGGATGTATGTGCAGCAAAGAAGTAACTCACAACTACTAGTACTTAAAGTCCTTCATTTAGTGCATAATTCATACTATTCTTTGCCACAAGAGGTCATACTAAGGGGTAGCTAGGTGGCACAGTTAAGAGTGCTGGGTATGGAGTCAGGAAGACCTGAGTTCAAATTCTTTCTCAGATATTTAGTAGCTGTGTGACCCTGGACAAGTCACTGAACCTCTGTTTGCCTCATTTTCCACTTTTGTAAAATGGCGTAATAATAGCAACTACCTCTAAGGGTTGTTGTGAGGATCAAATGAGATAATAACTCATAAAGTGCTGAGCACAGTGCCTGGCACACAGTAAGTACTACATAAATGTGAGCTCTGATCCTTGAAGCTATCTTACTTTTCAGGTAGCTAACTCTTCATATCGGCCTGTCCTCAGTGTGTCTGCTCAGTGTGTCTACTTCAGGTTAGATGCATTGTCTCCTACTGGGGATAGGAGAGGTAGGGCAGTGTCAGGCTCCTTAGCCTCCTTCCCTTCTCCCCTTGTTGCCCTCTGTTATAGATGAAAAGATCGACTTTCAGAAAAATTCTTCCAAGTATTGGAATATTCCCGTTTTGAATCAGTGGACTGATGGACTGACTCATCATTTTTATTCCATGGCATAAAAGGGGCATGAGAGATTCTCTCAAATAATCAGACTGTTCCCATCTTGACCCAAATAAAGAGCAGCTTGCAGATGATCAAATGATCCTGGCACAAGCCAATCTTGTTTGCACATTAAAACGTAGTCACAAGTGATCACATTTTGGGGTTCTAAGAAAATGCCC